TTTCGTACTTTTAGCAGGCAAGTGGAGGGAAGGACAGGCCAACTAACTATCCTGAATACCTCGACTATAGCTGAAGTGTGCAGTGTAATCACCATTTCGGCAGCCTAAATATTTCATAGTTTTAGCAATTTTCACCCCCATACCCCTCCCCTCTCTCTCTGGCGTAATGTACGATGTAAGAGGGATACTGTCTGAAGCAGGGCCTCCACTGGTAGTGACGGTCACGTGGTTTAGAGAGATGGTCGACTTGTTACCATAGAACAGTCCCAGACGACCTGACAACGAGGAGAAATAGAGAAAACGAACGGTTAACTAATACACTTTCTCAACTTTTTGCAAAACCCTGAAAAAAGTGTTTGTGGATAAAAGTTATGCTTTTGTGACCAATAAAAAACAGGTTTTTGGGAAGAGTTGGTTTTATGTGCATACATTACGCACCGAGATTTTTCTTGAACTCCGATTTGATTCCGATCTGTAGAATGTCGTCTTCGAACAGAACTCCATTGTTTTTAGTGATGAATCTGAGAGAGAGAGGGGGAGAGAGAGAGGGGGAGAGAGAGGGAGAGAGAGGGAGGGAAGGCGGGGAAAAGAATACTTTTGCAGTTAGCACAAAGCAACCCTTCATGGATACTGATCATTTATTAGGCAAATACCAAAAACAGGCTAAAGAAATGAAGACACAATACTACAGCAATGGGCACAGAGTGAAAAACGTATATATTACATACCTCATATAACCATCATCAGCTCCAGGACTGAGGCCACCCACTAGAGAAGTGAGGAAAGGCTGAGTGGGTGTGGCGCCGGCTGCAAAGAGGGCGTGGCAAACACATCTACCAGGAGACTGGCAGTATTGGGGTCAGTTGGAGGAGGAGGAGGCTGGGCCGCAGCTACTGGAGCTGGCGTCGTGTCTATTAGACCTTATAACATACGTGGAGAGAGGAGGGAAAGAGGAGGGAGAGAGAGGAGGGAGAAGAGGAGAGAGATGGAGGGAGGGAGAGGAGAGAAAAAAATGTTTTCTTTTTTTGTGGGTAGGGCCAACATTCATAATAAACTGTTACACATGCCATGCATACCAACCAACAGTGTCATTTCCTTTCGTGTATCAACCGTAAACGGTAATGACATGAATGATACTAATTACTCACTGGTTGTGGGTGTGGTTTGTGGTTTCTGTGGCGACGGGCCGTTAGCCACAGATGGTGTCACTGTCCCTGATACTGTCAGCTCCACTGGTTTAGCAGGAGCTGCGGCTTTGTCCTAGCAACAGAGAGAGAGGTCACCTTAACATTTTGTGCGCCGTGGAGAAATACGTATAGAATATTCATAAGGGAAGCCCGCTGTTTCATGTTAACACGTTTGCGCCATTAAAGTGGCACGTGGTGCGCACAGTGTTAAAGGTTTGGCTAAAAAAGAGAACCTAATATAATTATTTTTCTCAACCTGCGCATATACACTGCGAATAAAGGGGACTTTCGATGTACCTAAAATGCCAGAAGTTCTATCTACAACAAGGTACCAGTCCAGGGGGCAGTCTGGTACAGTTTAGTTCTATCTACCACACTAGTGGGTGTGGCTACTATACCAGGTGGAGTTTGGCAGTCCACGGGGCCGTCTGGTACAGTTTAGTTCTATTTACCACACTAGTGGGTGTGGCTACTATACCAGGTGGAGTTTGGCAGTCCAGGGGGCCGTCTGGTACAGTTTGGAGAGGAGAGACGACTCCTTCTCAGGGAACGGCGGCATTTCCTCGAGCACGGTGGCTAGCGTGTCGGTGGACGCGATGTTTGAGAGTTTGAGGTACTCGATTGATCTCTGCTGCAGCTCCTGGTCGGGGTTCCTGGCCTGGTGGTCTGACTGCAGGACCTGGGGAGGAAGAAGAGGTGGTGGGAGGTATTTGTTACATCATTGTTTAGCAAGAATTTGAATACTTTCTCATTTTAGCAAGCAAGTGGGGGGAAGGACAGGCCAACCAACCATCCTGAATACATTGACTATAGCTGGAGTGTGCAGTGAAAGAATAGGTGGCCTAAATGTTTGTACTTTTAGCAGGCAAGTGGAGGGAAGGACAGGCCAACCAACCATCCTGAATACCTCGACTATAGCTGGAGTGTGCAGAGCAACTAACGTGTAGATGTGAAACAGATAGGGTGGCCTGAAATTAAGGAAGAGAGAGAGCTATATATAGTATTGACCTGTTGGATGTGAGGTTTGATCTCGGGAAAGAGGTTGACAAACTTGATGTAGACTGAGAGAAGCAGGGCCCGCGTGGTCGCAGAGCACAGGTGGAACTTGGAATGGAGTAACTGGAACTGGACCATCGGTCTGGAATGGAGACAGGGGGAAGTCATTTTCACCGATTAAGGGCAAATGTTAGAAGGTTACATCTACAAATTTTCTCTGAATTCAGTGGCTAAGGGTAAATTTTGGAAGGTTTATGACCATTAGTGGGATAAGGAAGCAGTAAAAAAACACTTCTCGGAAAATGCTGTTTGATGTGAAAAAATACCTAAATCTTAGGATTATCTCTTCCCTCCCTCCCCTATCTCACCCGGACTGTGGGTCCCCTGCTATGAGGTTACCAAACTCCCCCATGATGTAACCTCCGACCTTTATCATGTTCTCGTGGCACGCCGGGGCCTGTAGTGCCTGGAATCAGGGGAAGAGAGGGAGAGGGAGAGAGAGAGAGAGAGAGTAGTCAGGGGTTGCCAAGATAAAAGGTATGACATACAAAAGAACTTCTGCACAACTGAATGAATAAGGACGCATCTTATTTCCCACGCTCGCTGTGTATCTCCAAGTCACAACGAAGGCCATGTATCGACTCTCACATGCTATCTACTACTGTAGCTAGCCCGTGTCTGACTCTCCGCGAGCTACTAGCGGGAGACCACGAGTAAACACATACAAATAGCCCAGTCCATCAATTAGCAGTACCGCGCGTGCGAAGTTCGCCAAGGGTTTGCACTTTAATTTTAATTGTGCTGTATTTCTTAGCATGCTATCTTGGGAGCTGTTGAATGGTAGTGTAATGGTATTGTACATGTGTATGTGTACCTCGAAGCATGTCTTGGCTGCGTACCCCTGGACCTCCTGTCTGTTGATGACAATCTGGATTACTCTGTACCACACCTCCTCACTGACGTAGTCTCCTGTGTACAATTAGGGATAGCGGGGGGGAGAAAATCAAAACTGTTGACACCCTTATATAGAGGGGGTAGGGATGAAGGAAAAGTGAAGGAACAGTGAGATAGAGTGTTCTACTATTCCATACTCCATCTAGAGCTAAAGTATTAAAGAAAGTACAATTACGTACAATTAGTGCATAGCTGGTTTAAATCAAGCAATCTGATTGGTCCACACGAGGTACTTGATTTCCCGTAGTATACCTGGGACGCTCCATAGTAAACCTTGTTTTTCATGTAAAATTTGTACATGAAAATGACAAGATCACGTACATAATCTACAGAAACATGTAGCTTTATCGTCTACAATAATTCTTTTTTAGTTTCAACAGTATGCACAGAGAGACAAGAAGTCTGGGCCTAGCTGCACCTGTACGCTAGCGTTAGCGGTACGTCACGCCCGCAGATACGTGCGCGTTGAGTGGGCGGCGCCCCTTTTCCGCGAAGCGCGGCGGACGAAGAGCGGGTGGTGTATAAGCTTCTGCCTACCGTTTCTGGCTCGCCGCTGGTGGCTGAAACCTCGCTCGAGTCTGTTACCAATCGCGTCTTCACGCTCATTCGAATTTCAGTCGCCTGGAAACGGGCGCTGTGCGTGTGCGGATTGTCTGCTCTGCACTAAACATGTTAGTTACTCCGTATACTCGGGAACTACGGGATTTCAATGAACCCTCGGGCCATCCGCGTAGTTGCCCTCGCTGCGCTCGGGACACTACAACGTGGAGGCCCTCGGGTTCATTGAAATCCCGTAGTTCCCTCGAACGGAGTAACTAACTTATATTTAGGGATGGTGGGGGGGAAGATGTAGTCGAGGAAAAATACGGACCAAAAAAAGAAAAGAAAAGGCTTCTATAAAAACATTAGTTCACTCGTCCTGAAAGCAATACTAAAGGAGTAATTTTGGAGTTTTTTGTCAGAACCAGAACTCCTCACATACAGTACATAGTCTCCTACGTACAACTAGGGATGGTGGGGGGAAGATGTAGTCGAGGAACAAAATGACCAAACATGACAAATAAGAAATGATATCATGCTTCTATGTAAACATTAGTTCATGCATCCTGAAAGCAATACTGAAGGAGAAACTTGCCGGCATATCTGATGAGGTTGAGGATGATGTCGACATACCAGGCGTAGTCCAGAGCAAACTTCTCCGCCAAAATGGCTATTTTCAACACCTGAGAGAGAGGGGGTATATACTATTCTGATGGACTATCCAATTGTGTTCCTTGCATTAGGTACATGTGGCTAGATTTATGTACATGCGCTCACGTGAGGGAACGGAAACTGAACGGAACGATAGTGAACGGCAAACGGAAAGAAACGGAACGAAATTGGAAACGTTTTTTTGACTCCATCTGTACATTAGACGCTAGCTCCGAGCTCACCAGAGTTTCTCTTATGCCGTAGTCGGCCTTCTGAAGGTAGCTCATCAGCTCTTCAACGATGGTCTTTGCGTTGGTATGGTCGCACATGGCGTACAGGAGGTCGATGGCCCTCATCCTCACACTGACATCTCTCTCACTCTGCGGACAGAGAGAGAGAGAGAGAGAGGGAGGAAGGGGTTAAATTATTAAAGTGAATTGAGAAAGAAAAAAAAGTAAGAGGCAAGTGATACAAACTAGTGGGAACTTTAAACAACCCGGCGCTAGGAATATACGCTGTATTCTATGGGCTGACCAATATCAGTATTGGACAGGAAGTCCTTATCACAATATCTAGCGCTAGGGGGCTATGAAAGTGGGAATGTGGCAAGAAAATATAGAACACTACATTTGTACCATAAATAAATTGTGGATTGGCAATATGAACAGCTCTTATGAAAGTAAAGTTTTTTGTAAACGCATTTCTTTGTAAAAACAAATGCAAGCATTTCTTCCCCTCCATATTACGACATCACCATTACATCATTAATTGACTGGCCTCAAGAGCCGGTGTAATTACATCACCATTACATCATGAAATTGACTCGTCTGAAGAGCTGGTGTAATTACATCACCATTACATCATTGATAAATGCCGCACCTGAAGAGCCTTGAGGACGGTATCCTGGTGTTTCCTGACTGCATCTCGAGTGGTCATCGACGTTGCAAGTTTGCTCATGCTCTCCAGTGACAAATACCTGCATTACATCATCATTACATCATCAGTAATACAGCTAGTGAGACATTGACGTTATATATGAGTCACAAGCAAATCATGTCGCATTACGTATTGTAGCAAAAAGTTGTTTATCTGCATTTTTACTCACTAACGAAAATTACATGCCACTATAGTTTAATGATGACATCATAATGACCTCATGTTAGTTTCCTTGTTGGTGAGGTACGTTCCGAGGAGATTGCAGGCCCTCACTTGAAGACTAGGGTCCCTGGTGGAGGAGGGTGAAGGCACAGTAAAAAGACAGCGAGATAGAGTGTGCTACTATCCCATACTCCATCTAGAGCTAAAGTACATATTAAAGATAGTTTGTTGATATTTTCTTCAACTAATGTGCCCGCAAAAAATGCGAAACTGTTGACACCCTTATATAGAGGGGGTAGGGGGTTAAACTTTTGCTCAAAAATATAATGTGCATGTAAAACTCTTTCTCTCACCCCTCGAAGTGGATAATGAGATTCACGGCCTCAAACAGTACGGCATTCTTGGCGTTGGAATGCTGTATCTTCTTGCTCTTGCCAGGCTCCTGGGCTCTATTTAGAATTGCGTCCAGTGCTTCGCTCAGTCGTGACCGGACTATGGCATCGTCTGGAGAAAATCAAGCAGAGATAATAAAGGAGAATACAGAGTAAATACAGAGAGACTACTGAGAAAATACAAGGGAATACTAGAGAATACAGAGAAATACTAAAGAATGCAGAGAGAATACTGAGAGAATACAAGGGAATACTAGAGAATACAGAGAGAATACTGAGAGAATACAAGGGAATACTAGAGAATGCAGACCGGGTATGGGGAAGCACTGAAGAAGTCTCATGATCTTGACAGAGAGCCAGGGAGCTGCCACGAAGTAGTAGGTGTAGTCATGGAGATCAGCGTGACTGGACGTCACAATCTGAGAGGAGAGATAGAGAAAATGAGTTAACCTTTGAGCACAGCGAGAGGGGAAAGTTGGGAGCGAGGTAGGGGAAAGTTGGGAGCGAGGTAGGGAAAGTTGGGAGCGAGGTAGGGAAAGTTGGGAGCGAGGTAGGGAAAGTTGGGAACGAGGTAGGGAAAGTTGGGAACGAGGTAGGGAGTGAGATAGGGGGGTAAAGGACGAGATAGGACAAAAACTTGGGGCAATTCACGGATAAAGTTTGGATGTACCTCACTCTTTAAACCACATGCAAGCCCAGCTTCAATACAAGATATTCAGACGACAGAGAGAGAGAAGGGGGGAAGAAAGTTCGGAGTGGGATATAGGGGGGAGAAGACGACAGTTCGGAGTAACACAGGCGGAAATATGGAAGCTATAAGCGAAGTGGGAAACAAGACAAAAGTTCGGAGTGAGGTAGGGGGAAATATGGGAGGTTCAATAATACAGTATCTATAGAAGACAGAGAGAGTCTCACTCGCGACAGTCTAGTGACGGCCACAGGTACGCAGTCTGAAAACCCCATAGAATTGATGTGAGCCAACTCCTCCAGCAGAGAGCACGCCGACGTCACCACTCCCTGGAGATTACAGAGATTTACTATAGTTTACTGACGTTTACTGAGAATATACTGAAGATTACAGAGAAACGGTTATACATCTTTAGAGGGTCAGGTGTGCATCAAATAGATATACTACATATCTATATGCATATCTAAGAATACTAGAAATTTCTGGAGTATACATGTACAAGATGTTTCAAGTGAAATATTCGGGAGAACACTAGGAGGAAATGCAAAGAGGTTACTGAGATATCCGAAAACCATGGGATTACTAAGATATCCAAGAGAATACTGGAGTATACCAGGTGTCTGTCGTTGAGTAGCTGGACGATTCGTAGAGCGTGCTGATCAATAGAGATGGCCTTTGGATTGACTCGAAGCAGCTTGAGGAGGCAGAGACAGGCTGTCTGCTTTACTCCTGGAGTAGACTCACTGTGTGTGTGTGTGTGTGTGTGTGTGAGAGAGAGAAAAGAAGAGTACAAAACAATAAAACTTTACAAAGCAACTTGAAGTGCACAACAAACAAATCAACTACAGTCATTGCATGCACAGACATCAGTGTACAAATATATAGTGCCATCAAACTCACGAGGAGGAGAGGAGAGGAGGGATATCTTTGCCTATGAGTTCTGCCATGTCCTTGCTGGCAATGTTAGCCACGCACTGCATGGCCAGCATGTTGAAGATGGGGTTTCGAGACTCAATATCGTGTCGGATCGCCTGGACGATGAGCTGGGACAGGTCGTGGGCGGAGCCTATCAGGACTGACACAAACAGATAGCCCTGCAGACATACACACACATAGATAGGGGGAGTGTTAATATGAAGGGAAATAAGAAACGGCATTATATTACTAGGAATGCGCAATGGCATTATTATTAGGAGAAAAATGGGGGGATACAGTTGAGTGAAAATTGGTACAAAAAGTGTTTTCAGGAAAAGACGGCGAAAGGGGGAGGGAGAGGTTAGGAGAATGAAAATGTACTGTTCTATATATATATATATAAAAAGCCAATTCATGGGTTATACATGTAGGATCATACAACATTTGTGGGGAAGTTTTGAGTGACAGAACAATTCCAAAAATGTCAGCCATGCGTACCGATTTTCAGTTAATAGTATAAAACATCTGATAAACAACCCATCAAAATAGCGACGACTCTTGTTTCAACCCCATGCTAATACTTTAGCGAAAATAAGGACACCCTCTCTATTAGGGACAATATCGTTAGCCCCATATACAGTCTCCCATATCTAGAGGTTCCACTATAGTTGGTTTCTCCCTCCCTGCCAGCCCCAGTCCCCCGGCTCACGATCTGTTTCTCTGAAAAGTGGACGGAAGAGAGGAGGTTGACTGCCTCCTGGTGACCAAAGTCAATGTCGTTGCCGAGGAGGAAGATAAAGATCAGTTTACTGACATACTTCTTCTTCTGATAGCCGTCCATCCTGTCTCCTGGGATGGAGAGAGGGAGGGAGAGAGGGAGGGAGGGAGGGAGAGAGAGGCACCATTACTATAGTACACAAGAGTGCATGATAGAATAGAAATAGCCTAGACTGCAGAGTGTCGTGGGTTCGAATCCCACCCAGGACAGCTCTTCCTTTTCAAAAGAGCAGTCCTGGGTGTAGTTGACTTGTTTGTTGTGCCTTTGCCTTTCTACCTCGTAGTTTACACTGTATATACATTACTCCCATAGAAGCCCATAGGAATAGTGCATATGTGACCCTCTCTGGGAAAAATATACCATTCGGAGCAAATATAGATCTTCCGCTATGCGCGTGTATAGCAAAAAAAACTCGATGGTTTTGGCAAATGTACTTTATGACACAGATGAAGACTACATTTAACCTAGTGCATATATCCCATACTAAATTTAGCTAACTTGTGGTTGAGGGAATATAATTATAGTATAGCAAGTGTGTTTCAAGCAGAGCTTTTGGGGTAAATCACCACCACCACCACAGGTGAGGCCATAATTGCCAGGAATTTCTTCATAGAAATTGTAGGATCTGTATAATGTGAAACCCTGCAGACCAATGTCAGGAGGAAGACAGATGGTTAATCAGGAAGAGGGGAATTAGGAGATGTAGTAATGGCAGAGGAAATAGCACCCAGTGATGTGGTGACTTTGAAGAAGTCATGTGGAGACTGCAAGGAACGTGAAACTATCGGTTACCGTTTACGGCCTAGTTACTAATTAACAACATTCCAGCCAACAGGCAGCGTATATTTCCCAGTAAAGATATTGCGTAACACTCTCGTACATGGTCACTTGAACTACAAGCTAGAGGAATGCCTTCATAGTTAGGTGGCTGATAAAAATGTGTTGCAAATTCCACGTTTTCTCAACCATCTATAAAACGTATTCGTGGTGAGGTGGGGACATATGTATGTATTAGTTAACGTATAGCCGGCAAGGCAGTACAGGAGATACTCCGAGGCTGTTGACTATACCGGACGAGGGCTGAGGCACGGTATAGTTAACAGCCGAGGAGGATTTCCTGTACCCGCCAAGACGCCTGACGTTAACTGATTTGTAGTCCAACTAGCCAATCACAATGCTGAATTTCTTCTGCATCATCTTGCACTAATGTACTAATGGCCTGTTGTGTAAACTTTGGAAGCCAGACAATTTGCACCACGCCTAGCGCTAGATGTTGTGATAAGGACTTCCTGTCCAATACTGATACCTGTGCAGCCCGCAGCCCACAGCTCAGAATACAGCGTATATTCCTAGCACCGGGTTGTTTGAAGTTGGACTACAAGTAAATATCTCCCACTTCACTATGTCACTGCATTCACCTAGTATACTACTTCTGTACTAGTATACTACTTCTGTACTAGTATACTACTTCTGTAGTCTATATGCATCCTCTGGTTGAATTTTTCGTAAGTGTTTAGAATCACAAACGAATAGAACGTGCAGGGCCAGTCACATCATTCAGACGACTGATGTCATGCATGTGCAAAGGAGCAGCAAAAATTTTTCTCATTTGCTACTGTGTCCCAAACATATTCTATCTCTCAAGTTTCCAGCTACGATGTTATATTATATATATTATACATAGTACATTAGAGAATGAATTTATATTACCTTTTAACTTTGAGCGAATGTTGGCGAGCGTATACGAGGTTCGTATCTGATCTATTACGTGTGACCATAGAAGAGCACATGTGTAAGTGATATGGTGTGACGAGAGGTGCAGAATTAATAATGGGAGTAGCAACGAGACACAGGCATACGTGCGAAGTATAGCAGTGCAATTAGACAGACCACTCCTGATCGGCTTCTCAAACTTTGCCATGGTACGACCTCTGACCTCTTTAGTAATCGAAGAGGGAAGAAGAGAGAGAGAGAGAGCGAGAGAGAGCAGAGAGAGAGATATGAAAAAGAATAAATTATTAGTGATGAGCCGATGTAGAACAAACACTATGTGAAACAAGTGGAGATCTTAAGATGATTTAGAAATAGGTGACTGCACATGTGCTGGAATAAACTTCACTATGCACAATTTAGAAGTTGAGACCACTAATCCACAGGAGTACAGTGGGGCATTATTACAGAATCATATAACGCTCACCAGAAATGGGTAAGTGTGTAATAGTGGCATTACTGCAATGGCCTTGTGGCTAAGGTGCTGTTTAATTGCTATCGAAGTCATCCCAAAACTCAGATACACAGCAATCAAACAACAGTTCTTGGCCCATGTCAATACAGTATAAAACGCACACCGCCAGTGTCATACATTGTATGTAATATGTGTGTACAGTATGTACAATATGTATAGAGAATTTATATAAGTCTAGTGGCTAGGCCAGAATAGAAAATCTCAGAGATTCATCTCTTTTTCCTCTGCTGCCCTATATACAATTCTGTTGTTAGCAGGCCGGGCAGATGAAGTGTCGCCGAGACACGCAGATAACGATACTCAGTCGGCACATACTGAAGTTCATATAAATAACACACGTAGAAAATTCTAGCAGACAGATCACACACTATCAAGCGTAGTTTATGATGCATCAGTACAACACTATCCCTGACACGCTGATACAGTCCCCAAAATACATATAAAAGCGCTGGACACACAATAACGCTTGTACAGTAACACAATCGAGACAGTAACGACACAGCCAACCGCGTCGACCACGAGCATAATATAGGTAAAACGGATAGTAGTTCACACCGAGTCCGTGAAAGAGATCAGTGACGAGCTTGAGAATTGTCAGCAGCTACTATCCTAATCTCCTCCGCGCAAAAGTGAGACGACAGCGAAGCTATTGATTACGGTCTATAGATCGCTTGTAGTACTAATGAACAGCTGGAGTAGCTGAGAAGACTCACGCAAAGCAGTGAAATCATGGACAACTATTATACTATATGACTCACACGAAACGCACCGCCATGTTTTTTCCGGTGTGCGTGCGGTCATTCAAGATACGTGAATCCTCGTCTTTCGCGCATGTCGGCAAACCTTTTACTCATGTGAGCGAAATGAACCAGTAAGAAATTGTCTTTCCTCTCCTAATTGGAAAGCTATTGAACTTCTTATTTTCTGTTACCTTAAGTTTAGGTGATATAATTGAAGGTGGGACTTGTTGCTTACTCTAAGCACAGTGAAGAAGAACGAGGAAAAAGGAGGAGAAGCAAGAGAGGGAGGAACACAGGAGGAGAGGGAGGAGGGGGAGAAGCAAGAGTAGCACAGAACAAGAAGAGAGAAAGCTCAAGACAGTTGGTGCAACCAAGGTTTGACTAAAACAATCCTCCGACTGTATATGCGGACTCGTCTCCTCTGTGTAATAGAACAAGTTAGACCATGAGATCATCCTCTGCGGAGCAAGTGGGTTCTAC